TAAAAAGGGAAATAATCTTGGTAATGGGAAATGGGCTCTTGGGAAGTGCTCCTGGGGGAGTGGTTGAAGCTAAGACAGGGAAAGAATACACAGGCAGGGGATTTAGGGAAGGATAAACTTGAAGGACTGCAAAAAAAGTGTTATTTAGCTGCAAGAAATGTGAAGTGGTGCTTTTGTTCCGCTCTGTCCCTCTGAAGGGGAGCATGTCACAAAGCAACTTTCTGAGACAAAGGAAAGAGTTTGGAATTGGTGCAGGGGAGGCACCAGCGTGGTCTGGAAGTGATGGGGAATACAGGAGAAGCTGTGGTCTCGTGGTGTTGGTTTAGGCTGATAAACTAAAAATTTATTCTCAGTATCCGAGAGGTGTTTGGTTTTTCATCCTGCCTGGGAGGATAAAAGAGATGCAGTGTTGCGTGGTTTCTGATTTCAAAGCATGTACGAAAAGCTCCATATTAGCAATTACGGGATGAAACTGTGCAAAAGTGCTACAAAGGAGAGAAAATTGGCTCAGGCTCAGGAAACGGGATTCTGCCGCTGGGAGTGAGTTTCCAGAGGCACAGTCTGGGGTCTCTTCTGGGTCCTCTGGTGTTTATTTTTTTTAATGGAAAGGATTTGCATGAGCAGCCCAAAGTCAGAGTGTTAAAGCTCACTGATGGAAGGAAGGGGAAAGCAGTGACAGGGGCTGGTCTCATCTTCCAGAGCAGCACAGACTGGAGAACACTAAAGGAAAGGCAAATTGATGAGCAAATAAAGGCTCAGGTGACATTTTTATCAGGGGAAGTGTGTGGAGCTCACAGCTGAGCTGTGGGGAGCTACTGGCAGTGTCTGCCCAGACAACAGAACCTGCCTGCCCTGACCCTGGGAGGGGATCAGGGCACATCCAAAGGATGAGCTTGTGACAGGAGCATGGAAGGGTTCAGCATTTATAGAATCATGGAATCATTTAGGTAGGAAAAGACCTCTGTGGTGATGAAGTCCAACAGTTAACCCAGCACAGCCAAGGCCACCAGTAAACCACGTCCCCAGGTGCCACATCCCCAGGTCTGTTAAACCCCTCCAGGGATGGGGACCCCAAGCCAGCTGCCCTTGGCCTTCTCACCCACCTGGGCTCAGGTTCAGCCAGTGCTGCCCAGGTCTTTTCCCTCTGGGCACCTCTCCAGACACTGCCCCAGGCCTGCAGGGGTTGTTGTGACCCAGGTGCAGGAGCTGCCAGTGGCCTTGCTGAACCTCAGCCCGTGTGATGCTTCCAGCCCAGCATCACCTCCAGGAGCCTTCCCACCACGCTGGGGATCAGCTCTTTGCCCCTCCCAGACACCTTGGGAGTCTGGGGGCGACTCTAATGAGATCCCAAGTTTCTCCAACTTATCTCCAGCCTGAGTCAGGCAATCTCTGGCATGCAGGGTTATCCCTATGTCCGCTCCACTGGAGAGCTGCTGCTGCAGAGGAGAGGGGATTTCTCAGAGCCGGGCCTCAGAGCAACATTGAAAATGCATGAAGACATGCTGTAGGAAGGAGCTGGGGAAAAGACACACGAGCGTGAACCCGGGGCCGTGGTGAGCTGAACCACGCAGCTGGGAAGTTCGTTATCCAGCCTGAGTGTCAGAGCATGCCATAAAAATTTAGTTTATCCTCAAAGAGCTGTGGTCGTGGAAGAAGGATGGGAGCAGGGAGGGATGGCAGCTGAGGAGGAGACAGGAGGAATGTCAGGAACCTGTGTGTCCTGGTTTGGGCTGGGTTGGTTGATTTTCTTTCTAGGAGCTGTGGTTTGGGTTTGGGATGAGAATAATGTTGATAACGCATGGATTTTTCATTGTTGCTCAGCAATGTTTGCACTGAGTCAAGGACTTTTCTGCTCCCCTGAGGATGCTGTGGGGCACAATAAACTGGGAAGGGACAGCTGATCCCAGCTGGCCAAAGGGATATCCTAAACCAAATGGAATCATGGTCAGTATATAAACTGAGGGCCACTGCTGAGGGACTGGCTGGGCATCAGCAGGTGGTGAGCAACTGCACTGTGCATCACTTGGTTTGCATATTCCAGTTCTATTGTTGCTGTTATTATTTCTGTCCTATTAAACCAGCCTTATCTCAAGCCATGAATGTCACTTGTATTTTTCCCAATCCTCTTCCCCATTCCAGCACGGCCGTGTGGTGTTCAGCTGCCTGCCAGGTTAAACCACAACACCATGTCAAGAGGCATCTCCTATTTAGCAGTGTATCATGTCTCCCTTCTGGTTTTTAAACAGTTGCCTTTATCACTAGGAGTTAGAGCACTTGATTGACAAGGCTTGTAATACACCGTGGAGTTGCCTTTATTTTTCCTACATGTTAAAGGAAAAGATACTAAAAATACAATTATGGTTTTGAGCCAGGCGTAGTCTGTTCTAATATAATTCATCTCAAAGACTATCCACCGTGCCTGCTGCACCCAAATCATTTATAAAACATTAGCATCTCCTGTGCTGACATTTCACTCCTATATTACAGGAGTTACACACAGACTTAAAAAAAAAATTAATAAAGTGCTTCTCTTCTTCATTCTCCCACTGAGAGCTTTGATTTCCAGAGTATGAAACGAAATAACCAACATAACAACATGCTCCACTTCTGAGGGACAGTGCCAGACTCATTCAGTTGCTATTGGTTATAGAGAGTAGGACATGAGGGAGCTATTTCAGACCACGGATTATTTGTTCTGGCTGCATTGGACATCCCTTTAGTGGAGCTTTAGAGCCCTGTAGACAGAAAAGTTTGGGTAGGAGCTGGAAGGCAGAGGGCTTGATGAAGTAACCTCTTCCTTCCTCCTCCCAGAATTACTCTTGCTATTCCCCAAGAAGGGCATCTAAAAGAGAAGCATCCAAGCCTCTGGCTTTCCTTGCTTGCAAGATGGACAGAGGAGGCCATGCCCCTCCAGCTTCCCACTCTCACATCCAACTGCTCGTAAACACAAGCGCATCGGGGAATTTTCTGCTTCTCTTTTCAGTGGGAGTTTCCTTTTCCATTTCCAGATACCTCCAAGGGATCTGCCACTGTGTAAATACCCTCTCCCCTTCCACAAAGTGGTTGGGAGAGCAGACTTCCCCAGCTGACCCATCCTTCCTGGAGCTAATGCTGTGTCTAGTGGAAAACTGCAGCTGATTTTTTCAGCATTTCCAGCCCCCCATCTGAGCCACAGGCTCGAAATACCACCACTGAGATATGGTTATGGAAAGAACAGAAACCTTTTCTTGTCCAAGATCACTTTTATTTCCCTTGTTTCATTAGCTTCAGTGTCTGTTTGGTCTCACACATCCACACTGACAGGGAATTCACACCAAATGCAGAATTTGGGCAGCACCTCCCCGAGCCCACGGGCTGCCGTCGGTGGAGCTGCCGGCTCTGCCATGCCCCCGACCAGCAAACACATCCCTGGTTTAACCCAGGAAGAGGGGAACAGAATGCCCTGCTCCCTCTCCTCCAACTCCCCACAACCCCCTTTGTACAGCTCTCTTGGACCACGGATTTCTCTCTCCTGCCATGGACCAGAAACCTCGGGCACCGCGCTTCTCGCCGGTCCTCTACAAGCTGTAGCTCCCCCCTACTCTGACTCTTCCAGAATCTGTTCCTTTTAAGAAACAAAACCCCTCCTGACTCTGTCAGGTCTGTCTGCAGCCTGGGAGCTGCTCCTTGCTGCCCCAGTGAAAACCTTAGTCCAGCTATAAAGGTCCTCACGGCACTGCCACGGCTGGGAAGCCCCTCTCTGCCTCCAGCCCCAAAACCAGCCCCTTTCCTCCCCGGGGCCTCGAGTGCTCTCCGGAGACAGAGCTCTGTGGCTCTATTCATTTGGGCTAATTAATCTCTCTCTCTCCCCCCCACTGGTTACAAATTAGGATGTAAGGGTGAATTTTGGCTCTCTGGGTATGGACTTTGCTGCATCGCACACAACCACCCCCCAAAGCCCTCCCAAGGTTTAGTGCTCCAAATTGCTGAGAACATTGGTCCGTTGTGGTTCCCCTGCATGTACTGAGCCCGCCCGATGGCTTTCAGCATCTGTAGGCACTGCTGCCGGTTTGTTTTCTCAAGGAAAAAAACAAAAAAAAAAAATCATATACTGGTCTGCTATAAATTCAATAATACAATCCTTAGTTCTGAAGATACAGTTTCCATATAGTTTATAAACATTGTAAGACATACATATGGATAACTGAGAGGAAGAGGGGGAGCCTGTGCAATTGTTGGGGTTTTTTTTTCTCAGATGTGTGAACATGGTTACAAAAAACACACCTCCTGCAGGTACCTCATTTCTTTATGTGTTGGGTTTGTTGGGGTTTGGTATTTTTTTTGTTTAATTCCACCTCTAATCAGTCTTTCCTTTGGTTGTTGGCTACTCCAAGCCCAGCAGGCAAGCCCTGTTCTGCTGTAATGCCTGAGATATTCAGGGGTTTGAGATTGTCTTCTAAGAGATTCCCAGCCAACTTTGGCCTCTGGGTTTGGAGCCAAAAGGGCTAAAACGTGGGAGAACCAAATGTCCTTATCACATCGGTATCAGTGTCCTTGCACTCACTTTCAGAGAGAAACAGTGTAGGCTTAATCGGTGATGGTTTTTACAGCAATTATGTTCCTTTCGGTAATTGGAGGGGTCGCTCGGAGCGCTCTCAAACGAACGGGATTTCACAACAGCACGGATACAGTCCATTTGTCTGGGTGTTGTCACCGACAAATCGGTTACCATCCCTGTTATCTGCTTTTTGTAAGGTTGGCTTTTTTTTGTTGTTATTGTTGTAGGTGCTCGGTTAGGCTGTTTGTGACAAGGTGTGATAATGCCTTTTAATCTGCTCCCGCTGCGCTCGGCACAGTCCGGCCGGGCACGGAGACAACCCTCAGAAGCCGAGACAACGTTCTTCCCTTCGCCAGGCCAACGCTGAGCCACGTACAAAAAAAGAAGAAGAAAAGAAACTCTGGTCCTTTGTAGATTGGTGGCAGTACAGCTCCGCTCCGTCCGCGGCCGGGGCCGGGGGGGCTCAGCGGATGACGGCCGCCAACACCACCATAAAAACCAGGAGCGACGCCCTGAGCCCCGGGCAGCCGGCGGCCTGCTGGACCCCGCTGGGCGGGCGGATGGGCGTCCGCCGGGTGCACTTACCCTTGCGCTTGGGGGACAGCGTGGGCATGGCCCCGAAGCTGTATTTGTGCTGATAATCAGGCACATAGTCTAGGACCTCCTGCCCGTCTTTGCGCGGCCCCAAGGACACCGGTTTGGAGGTTCGGTTACGGCTTTTGTGGCTGGTGCAGTTCTTGCCGGGTTTGCGGTAGCCCGGCCGGGAGCCGGGGGGGCCGGCGGGCTGGTTGCTGTGCAAACTGTTCTCAGCCCCTCGCTCCTTCCCCTTCTCCTTGGAGGAGTGGTGAGGGTGGTGGGATTTGGAGCCTCCTCTGTCCGCCGTAGAGAAGGTGTGTGTTTTCATCTGGTGGAGCGACTCGGACCCTGAACAGTTCCTAAAGTCTTCTGCTCTTAGCACCTTGAGGTCCTTGCCGTGCATCTGCTCGGGGGACTCGCAGATGACGCTGGAGCTGGAGCCTCTGAACCTGTGCAGCCATTCCCAGAGGGAACGGGCTTTGCAGTCGCAGCTCCATGGGTTCCCATTCAGCCTGAGAAACTCCAGGGCTCCCAGGTGGGCCAGGCAGTCCCCCTGCAGCTCCGAGAGGCTGTTATTGAACAGGAAAAGGGTGGTCAATCTTCGGAGGTCATGAAAAGCCCGCCTATGAATCCACTGCAGCTGATTTTGATGGATGAGCAGCCGATCCAGGTTTATTAGTCCCCTGAACGTGTTCTGATGGAGGCTCCAGAGCTTGTTTCCATGGAGAAAAAGATGGCTGAGGTTAACCAAGTCAACAAAAATATCATCCTGAAGGAACTCAATGTGGTTGTCTTGCAGGTAAAGGTATTGCAGGTTGTGGAGGCCACCGAAAATCCCGCTGGGGAGAGAGCTCAGCCCACACTTGTACAGATACAAGGCGTGGAGTTTCACCAGCCCCTGGAAAGTGTCTGCAGCTAAAGCCCTTAAGTAGCGGTTGTCCCCAAGGTCCAGCTCTTCCAGGTTGATGAACCCGTCGAAGGTGTTGGGGTCGATGAAGGTGATGTTGTTGGAGTAGATCCAGAGGGTGACCATGGAAGGGCTGAAGTGGCCCCGCAGCAGCAAGGTGATCTGGTTGTTCTGCAGGAAGATCCTCTCGCTGTCCTCGGGGATGCCCTCGGGGATGGTGACGAAGTTGTGAGCCTGGCAGCTGACGGTCATCGGGGAGGGGTAGCACACGCAGTCGGTGGGGCAGCCCAGGGCACCGGGCACCTTCAGCCCCAGCAGCACCAGCAGCAGCTCCGCAAACCCCCCTGTGCGGAGAGAGGGGAGAGCGGCGTCAGCGGGAACCGGGCACCTCCCGCCCACCCATCGCTGCTGCGGAGACTATTCCGGGTGAAAAACGCCCCCAATTAGCTCAGCCCTCCTCTCTGCTCATGAATTACCCACGCGGCTGTGATGAGTAGGCTCATCACCCACGGCAGTTAAAACGTGATGTATGGAGTACTCCCTGCCTCCTCTCCCTGCCTGCAACAGGCGCCTGGTTGTGTTCCCAGCCCGGAACAGGCAGGAGAAACTTTCTCGGTGAGAATTCACGCTGGCAGCTCAGGCAGCAGAGCCCCTTGCCCGCAGGCAAGGAAACGCCGCGGTGTGAGAGCAAACAGGGGAAATTCAAACCCTCGCAGGTGTCCCCACTCCTCTTGAAATGCATCTGTTAAATCGCCTGCACGTACCGGAGAGGAAAAGCTGCAGAGATTCAGCAATTCCCAGCCAACCACCTAAAATTACACGTGTGCAGTGCATCCCGCTCCCCCCAAAGGCACAGACCCATCCCCACCGTCTCCTTTCACTACAGTTGTTAGACACCACCATCCACCCCGAAACCCGAGCGATTTACAGGGAAATATGTTGTCAGCAGTTGGTGGAAAAGGCTGAGCCGAAAACTCCGTTTGGAAGTGGGATGCTCAGACATATTTTTAAATGGATGTCCTGTGGCAAAGCATATTGCATCCTCTAATGCTACAGCATGTGCCTGCAACTGGGGCTTTCTCGCAGCAGAGAAGCAGAGAACGAGGCAGAACCATCCCCTCCCTCTGCTCAGCTCCTCAGAGCTCCGGTTTCGCCGCCCCGCTCCCGTCTCGCTCCCACTCCTCGCACCAGGCTTGCTTTCAGGCTATTCCTTCTGCGCCGAGTGGCTCTTCAGACTCATTGCACCAGACTTGTCATTTCTCATTCAGGTTTTCCTCCTAGATTTGGCTTTTTCGTCTTACACACAAAATTTGCTCATGTCTAATGAATTCTGCCCCTGGACTTTACAGGGAAAAGGAGTAACAGCGGAGCAGCGCACAGCTGCCGGTGCCATCCTGCCCACGAGTCCTACTCAGCTTGTACTAATCTGAAAAACGAGAGTGGAAGTGGAGTTCATCTCTAATTACTCCACATCGTTATCACCAGCTAGTCCAAGAGCCAGGACCCCTTGGGCTTTTACAGTCCCTCTTTTCAGTGCCTACAGCCTAATACGAGTTGGAGGCACAAAAACCTCACTGTTTTCTTATTAATTGTGTTTGAAATACAACTGTGTGGTTGCTGTTGCCTTTTCCCTGGTATGGAGATCTATTGCCATTTAGTTAACAGCAGGTGACCTGTCCATCTAGACCCATCCTTTCAAGGCAAAGTTGCCACATATTTTAGATAAACTGGGTTATTCAGACTCTCCATAAATCACCAGTAAGAGCCAGTCATCGCTGACTGGGCGGTTAATAGGAAAAAAAATAGCATCGCTGCCCAAAGCATCGGATCGAGCCTTGCCTGGGAATGGGAATGAGGGGGATGACTTCCAGGCACTGCCCTTCAGAAACGAAGCACGGGCTACCAGGAGGGATGTCTCATCCCTGCGCCACTGCCAAAAAGGGCTGGTGAGTCGGGAACGCTGAATTCGCGACAACTCCTACGGCTGTGTAGGAAAAGGAACATTCTCCAAGTCACTGCCGTAGCATTTTGGCTTTGCTGTCGTGCCTCTGCACGACGAGCGAGGGCCTGCGCTGGTGGGAGCATCGTGCTGACTTACCCAGAGCTCCCTGCCAAAACGGGAGCCCTGGCTGCCACTCACAGCCTGGGAAACAGCGGTATCCTGAGGATATTGTGATTATCCTGCGATGGCAGGGATGAAGAAGTGTTTGCAGATATATTCTGCTGGGTTTTTAACTCGAGGATGTGCTCCACCAAGGTGGGACGGCTCCACGTCCCCCGTCTTACCTCGGTGACACCGGAGCACGGCGCCTTCCGTAGGTCTGATGTTTATTAGTAAAACCCTGCCAGGCACAAGTGCTGTGACGATCTCCCACATGCAGAGTCTGTTATTGCAAATACCAAATCACAAGGGTCTGAATCAATAAACCATCTCCCAGCTACACGCAGCAGGTTGGAAGATTACATATTGCTTCCAAACAACAGTTTTATGCGCTCTTCCGTGACACGACAGTTGCCAGGCTAACGGGATTACTGACGGGAGGTGGAACTGGGCAGGGATCTGGGAGCATCCAGGATTTCACGTGTAGGGATGGTGTTGACAGGAGGCTGTTAGCAAGGCATGGTGATGGACCAAGGCAGCCCAGGCCTCCCTGGAGCACGGCCAAGGTAGAGGCTCCTGCCGAAAGGGAAGGCAGCGTTTAACAGCTCGCTGCCTGCAGGGATAACTCCGGAGCTAAAGGTCAGAGGGAACTGAGTCCATCTCTTTAATTAACAGGCAGCTCTGAGTTAATGGCTGGAGCTCCTATGGAGAGAGAGATGGGATTCCTGCAGCCAGGGATGGCGGTGAGGATAGGCTGGGGTTGTTGCTGCTTCTCAGCTCCCCTAGAAGAGGATGGTGGGAAGAAAAGACAGGGATATCTTTCTCCCTGTTGCAACTTGGGAGTAAGGAGAATGGGGAAACAGAAGGATGGATACCTAGAAAAAAAGGGTGAACAGGGGAGCAGGACTTGGATAGGGAGTAGGTTTACGTTAGGTATAATGAAGGAATTTTCCTTGCCAGGGTGGTGAGGCTCTGGCACAGGCTGCCCAGAAAAACTGTGGCTGCCCCATCCCTGGAAGTGTCCAAGGCCAGGTTGGATGGGGCTTGGAGCCACTTGGTCCTAGTGGAAGGTGTCCCTGCCCTGGATGTTCTTTGAGGTCCCTTCCAACCCAAAGCAATCTGTGATTCATGAAGGTCTGGACTCCCCAGTGGCTGCACACAAGGCCTGTGGTCTCATCAAGGAGGCCTTCCTTCCAAGCCTGTAAAACCTGCTGGCTGCTTAGTGCTGTGAGAAGCTGCTCCTGGCATGCTCTGGGACTGGTCCCAGTTTAGATCTGGGAATGAGATCCCCAAAAAGCAAAGAGGTTATGAAGCCATGAAGCTCCTGAGGCTGGTAACCAGCACGAGGCTATCCAGCTGCCAAATCCCATTGGGGCATGGCAGCCAGGAGCACTTGGGTCTCACTGGGCTTCCCAGACTGGAAAACACCGTGGGAGCCTCCTGAGAGGCCCCAGCCCAGCTCTCCTGAGAGTTTGACCCTGTCTAACTTGTTATTCCTGACTCAGCCCTTTCAGCTTCATCTTGTAAAGGTTGTGAGGCACACGGAGGGTCACCAGCCCGAGTGTCGGAGCTCACCGGGGAGGGAGAGCTTCAAAAGCAGCACAGAAAAATCCTCCAGAAACCTGCTGGTGAAGTGAGTAAAACCAAATCCCCGCTGACACGGATAAAACCAGCAGAGGGGTGTTTATCTCCTGCCTTTCTCCCACTGACGTGCTGTGTCACCCCGGCCTCTGCTCGCCGAGTCCTTCTGCTGCCTCCTGCCTCTGACTGAGGTTTCAGTGATTGGAATGAATTCGTCTGACTGTCCAAACCATTTCCCATGTAACATCCCTCTAATTGGGCATTAATTAGGCATCAGTTAATGAATGCTTGAAATAATTTATCTTTGGATGCGTCCAGTTTGCAGTCTTACTTTTAACAGCATTAGACTCATTATTAGATTAACATCTTTATAAATGTTCTCCATTACCTGCTTGTTTCCATTGTCTTAGCCTTATTACTGAGAGTGAAAATCACTCCTCCCACATGCATTATTGATGAGTAAGGACTTTCTATATGTAGCACGGGATTAATTGTTATACAGTGTAATGCATTTAGCGTGAAGCCTCAATTTGTGCAAGAGCTGAAGGCAGCCAGAAGAATGCAGACACCCGGAGCCAGCATGATCAGCCAGACACTGCACATCTCTCTCCAGCCCAGACCAGGTTCCTCCCAGGCCGGTGCCAGCACAGGAAGAAATTTGAAAAAAAAAAACAAAAAACCAACCCTGGTTTGATACCCAGGATCAAAGACAGATGGTTTGAAGGGTTGGAGCACTTCTCTGCCACCACGGCAGGGACTCTTGACTCTGCAGTGCCACTTGCTCCAGAGAGCCTGGTGTACCTGCCCCAGCAGTTTTCTTGCTTTTTAAGGTTCAGAACACTTTGCTGTACCTCTGAGCCACACAGGGACTCGGTTTCTTTACAAAATGATGCCACTTACTTTCATTAGGAGGCTCAGACTCGAGGCCAAGACATCACTTAGGACAAGGATGGGTTTGTCCCTGGGAGGGGAGATGCACCTGCAGGACAACCCCTGCCACAAACCCTAGCACCCCCTCTTGGCAAGCTGCTTCTCTCTGATGGATATTTTCACCTCCCCACCCGGACAAGCTTATATGGGTCAGAGCCTGTCTAATTCTCCAGCAGGAGAATCCGCTCTCGAGGATGGAGCAGGTTGCTTCTCTTCCAAATCTCTCCTAAACCCGCCATCTGCTTTGGGAGACCCATCTTAGCTCATGTCTACATGCAACTTGACTGCCTGCTTACTGTGTCCATTACCAGGGCTGCTCAAGCTGTTAGATTTATAAGCTCTTTAGAGCAAAGCCCTCGTCTTCTGGTTGCTGATTTATGAATCTTTACTGCCATAAAACACTATGTATAGCTACTACATAATATAAATAATAATACTTAACCAGAGTGTGCTACAAGTGGGGACAAAGCATCTGCTCACAGGCGGGATTATCAAAAAGGGAGAAGCTTCCTCATCACTCACCCTCTCTTTTGAGGCCAAACTCACACCTGCTCTAACAGCAGCACCTCACGGAGCTCTAGGCAGAGATTTTCCTGTCCTGTTCCCACCCTGGATCTATCAAAGGATTTTTCAAAATCCACCCCTAACAAGCTGGTGCACAAAGACATGACTACAACCCCCGGGGGGAAAGTACACTTTGAAACTTGGGAACAACCTCAGAATTGGATGTTCACATAGAGAGAAGCTGTTGTTTAGGGAGAAAAAGCAGCCTCAAATGCTCACAATTTCATCAGCTAAGTGAAGG